GAAATTTTTTTGTGTCAAACATTGCATAATATTATAATTTCATATAATATATTTAGTTACCTACATAATATTAACTTATTTAGTTGAAACTGATGTACCAATACCTACCTTAGATTGGTGTATATACAGGATTGTAGAATAAATAGCTTAAAACTAGTCTGGATATTTTGAAAATCTCACTGTAAATAATATAATCAATTTGATATAGGTAAAGTATTTCACATCTCTGTTGGCTGCTACGATTAATATTTTTTGAACTAGAACAAAACTAGGTACTAAATTGTTTAAAGAAAAATATCGTTGTGTATTGTTATCTATAACTTATTGTCAATACATTATTTGTACCAACTTGAAATTTCAACAAAAAATAAATAAAATACGTTAATGTATTTATTTGATATTATTGTTATAAGAACAACTTATAAAGAATTTTTTATAAAATAGATCAGTCAATTAATTTTCTAATTTTTGTGATTGTGTCGAAAATTGAACTTTAATAGCTTATAAAAAAATGTGTTCATGTATTTTATTTAGATACCTACATTTAAGTTGCTATAAGGAAACCTTATATTAAATGTTAGAAATTAGACACATTTTTTTAATCAACATTTAAGGAATATAAAAAGCAATACAGTTTAAAAATATAACATTTTTATAAATGCTAATTAGCTTAACATTTTAAAAATTGTATTGTGTCTATGTAATTTTTGATTTTATTATTAGCTGTATGAACAACTTAAAAAGAACCTAATCTAATATTTTAAAGGATTCTGAGTTACCTATGGAAAAATGGTAGTTTGGTCATTGTCAAATAACTCTCGCCAGTCAAGTTCACTCCTAAGTCCTGAATACACAAATAAAATACGTTTCGTTTTCCAATATTTTTTTCTTCATGAAATCATAATCTGCTAATGTTCTATGTGTTAATTTAAACGATTTACCTTAAACATTTCCTATACCTAATCTACATATTGTAAAACGGCATTCAACAATTATAAATGCATAATAAAATAACGTTTTTTTTATTTATAGAATCTATTACAAAATAATTTCACAACAACAATCATTATTTGATACGAACTATTAGTTATCAGAATTAAGTTTGAGACTATTTTAAAATTGTAAAATGTTGTGTGTAAACTGTTAATGTTCAAAATTGGTACTAACAAAATATTTTTCCATTTATTAATTATTTTATATTTGGGTACATAAATATTAAATAATGACTATTGTGTGTTAAAAAATCACAGTTTAATATTATATTGTTGATAAGTCGATAATTTTCGCTTTTCAATACTAACAAAACTGTAGTATACTATACCTATCAATAATAAATCATCTGCTACATTTAAAATTCAAATGATAATTAACAATCTAGCTACCAATTTAAATAACATAACAACTTTAAACAGATACCTTCACTTGTTTACGATTTAAGTACCTATATAACATTAATGTTAATGAAAAGTCAATTTTTAATCAAACGAAATTGAATAACAAATTATTGATTTATCGCAATAATTAGATCTTTGCCTATCATTAATAATATAAATATGTTTTGTAATAGTGTTAGTGTGTTATAGGTATAGGTTAAATATACAGTAGGTATACTGTAAGTATATAAATTAATAACATTTACTATACTTACAAACAGGTTGGACTAAAATTTGAGGTGGCTAAAAGGGGGGGGGGGCTAGACCCCCAAATTATAATTCTATTCAATTGTATACTGGTAAAAACAAAATTGCAAAATAAAAATCATATTATAATATCGACATTTTCTGAAAATTAAGACTTCCCCCCCTAAAAATGTCATCTCGCCATCCATGTGACATGTTGACACAACGGTTGAAAGATTACAAGGTAGGAGATTAAGTAAATATATAAGAAAACTTTAATAAATTAACTCGCCATTGATTTTATAGGAAAAAATAAAAACAATAAGTCAAAAGCGTAATATTAAATCCTCGACAACGTGAATACACGAAGACGTGTTTTGTATAATAATATATTATTATAATGCATGCTGCATTTTAATATGCATTCATGTACGGTTTAGGTACGTTGTTAAACTCACGACTTTAAATGTATTTTATAGTAACAGTATGTTTTAAACCGTGTGGTTAGACGTAATTCTTGCCGCAAAGTGCAAGTTCATACTTTGATATATACCTACTGTGATATAATAATAATATGCAGCTGTATTCAAAAATCGGTAGAGCAATACCTATGTGATATTATTATAATCCACTGGCAGTAATAATAACTATACGGGCACTATAATACATGACATATTATGTTTTATATTTACATTATATTTGCACAGTCATTGAAATAACAAGCGCGAGTTTATATTATAATACGTACACGCTACACCATATATATATATGTAATATTTATAATGTACATATACATACCTAGTTTATAATATAGGTATATATTATTACATTGCACGTGGTAATAATGATATCGAAAAGACACATTTTGTATGTTTTTAGTCTACACATTCGTGTTCGGTACATATAAGTAGGTACCTGAGACCTACGAGGCTATACAACCTACCCATATACATTTGTCAAGCTGTTGAAATGTCTAAATTGTAATGTGGGTACTACTCACGGTGATATTATAGTGAAGTTAGCTTCACCAACTCGTCGTCCGATCGACTCCACTCTGCAGGTGTCAATATTTTTCAAATTAATGCGGCAACATTTTTTACGAAACCCAATTTGCAAAATAATATTGTCATCGGTTTGGAGTCTATCAAACGACACTGACTAAATTTGATCACTATCATCTGCTCATGTGTACACTCATATTTTACTTATATTTTATTATGCTTAACTGTCTTAGTAGATATGTATATTGCAGAGCGATTCACACTCTTAATATACATGCCTACAAAATATATAATATTATAATATACTATGTAACCCGTGATTTTTTCAGAAATAATTTTAATTTAACATTTTATGTTTTTGATTCTTCTTTGTTAGTAACGCCAAAACTATAGACATTCCGTTTCAATATTTTTTTTTAATGTACAAACCATCCACTCCAAAATCGATAGGTTTTACTGATTTTTGAGTATTCAATACACTTACGTTTTAACTCTCAAAAATACTTATTTTCTGAAAATGTCGATGTAATTACATGCATAAATCTACATTGGACGATAGTTTATTAATTTTAATCTTTTAAGTTTGGAACAGTGCAATGGCATGAGGAGAACCCCGTCACATTAGTTTAATATATTTTTATAGTGTCCTATATATTCACCCAAACAGAACTTTAAATACCAATTATAATTAATTAATCATTACTCTGGGATTTTAGATAAATTATGTTAAAAAATATCATCTTACTGAGAATTTAAGATCAAAACCGTAGGTCTCGCATCAGCTGTACCTATATAGTATAGATTTAAAAAATACTTGTTCGTTTCAGAGTAGGTCATTGTAATGTCATTGTACATGAAAAACGGTTCTGAGGGAAAAAAATGACAGATTAGCATATTTCATTTTTAATGATGATTTCTGCTATATTTTTATTATTATTATTTAAAATCGCAAAATTTGCTACCCTCCAGAAACTCCTTGAAGTTGAAGATTGAAGACATTTTTCTGCTCGTCATGTGGACAGGCACACACACACACACGACACACACACACACATACAAAATTATACTTCATTGTAAAGTCAATTATTATCATCGGTATAATTCTGATGATATATTATATTATACCATGCCCACATAGTAGATTGTATTATACAAACCCGATCGATACCTTAATGTTTATAATAATATATACCTAAACCTACCTATTTAAAATATACCTATATAATCGCCTAAATGTAGTACACGTTGTTGAACTCGTCCACTGTTAAATTAAGTTTTGATTTAGTAGTTCGCAGATTTTTTTAACGCCTTTCAGTTCATAAATCTTGATCATTAAAACCTGGTGATATCGTGCGTATAAAATATGCATGTGCACTCGTGCTCTTCAGGTGAGTATACCAAAACCAAATACACATACCACACCTGAGGAAAAGGCGAAGCCATAAATTATCGCATTATTAATGCAAATGTAAATAAATAACTAAAACAGTCGTGATTCTTAATCTATACCTTTATAATATAAGATAAATATTTAAGGTGTTTATAGTTATATGTATTTTTTACTATAATATATCTACATAAGTGGTATTATATAGGTAGTTCACATTGAGTATAGATTAATTGTATTTAATTTTGTTTAGGCATAAAATTATTATCTTAATTTTGAATGTTTTTTTTCAAATATTGTTTGACTAACTTAACTTAAGTATTAAAAATTTAACTTAAAATGATTTCCTTCCTTCTAGTAAATTACAAAAAAAATAAAAAATACAATTCAGAGAATAATAATGAATCCTTTAAACACAAACGTAATTTAATTTAAAAAAAAATTAATACTGTTTAAATATTATACATTGAAAAAAAGATAACTACGGCAAAATTGATAAGACATCATTAGAGGTAATTTTAAAATTAAATTAATTCAAAATGTTCGTGAAATCAAATGTAAAATGTGCGTTTAAACTTAAAATCCCATCGCATTGTTATAAGTTAATAATTTATTACCTCCTTGTTGTATATGAACATAAAAAAAATATCAATCAAGTTTCATTTGCAATGTAGTGATCCTGCCTTAACTTAAAATGTATTAATTTATTGTTTTCATTGAATTTATTTTGACAGCTTATAATTCTTCGAGAAAAAAAAAGTTTATAATCTAAATATACAAACTTGAATTTTTTGTACATAAACCTGTAAATAATTAAAGAAGTTTGTCATATAACGCATACATAATTTAACGACGTCGTTACATTTGTCTTATATATTTATAAGTAATGTATAATTTCCGGTAATAATTATTTAGATGAGACTGTAATTAATCGTTGCAACTCTCATGAGAATCAATGAATACTAAACAATAATGATATGATTATGAATTTCTTCAGTGTGAAATTACAATAAATAACCATACGATAGTTGTAAATTTTAGCGTCTGAGACAATTTTCTTGACCATGCAGCATTTTCTGAAAAAAAAACAAACAAAAATTAATTATTTCAAATATAATATTATAAGCAATACACGTGTGTAAAATTATGAATTTGTATTTTAATGTGGTATGTAAGTACAGTAGTTGTGGTTTAAAAATGTTTAACATTATATAAAATATAAATACATATTAGTATATTACACTTAGGCAATTTTTTATACAACTATACTTGTACCGAATAAACTAGAAATTACGTTTTAAATTGACATAATAGTATAATATTATTCTAGTATAGTTATCTTGACGTTTAATCGATAAAGAAGTTTGCTGGAAGTTGAAAATTAGTTAGAGCAATAGTTTTTACTTTTAACAAATGTATATTTTAGAAACTAGTCGTATTAAAAATAAAAAATAACATAATAACTTATAAATCTTTCAACAGTAATAAATAAGCATGATTCAAATTGTTAGGAGTTTTCAAGAACTTCATATAAGTTATAGTCTTCAAATAAATTATTTTCTGTTGCGGTGTTACTAGCTTAGTATTTACGATATTTTATTAAGTAAATAATATGTCTCACTAAACATTTAAGTCCAAGCACAGAACTCCTTTAGTAAAAAACGAAAAAAATTTTCAGGAAAATGTTGAAACTAAGAACCTCAAAGTAATAATAAACTCGCGTTTGTATTATATTTTTCTGTGTCATTTTAGATTCTGAGTGGAACGATGAATGTATTGATTGTACTTTGATGTGTGTGTTTTTTTTTTTTTTTTTAGTTTTTTTTTAATTATTTTTTTTTTTGTGTCTGTCATCACCTTTTAGGACAGTAAAAGTGCTTGGATTTTCTTCAACAGTTTAAGCACAGTTTATTTTTATAGTCGTTTTAAGTTCAAATTTGGATGAAATTACATAAAAAAAAACATAGAATAACTATTTTAGTTATTTTGTTGTGATTGTAAAATATTATTTGTGGGTAGGTACTTGAAACTTCTAAAGTACACTACCTATTATAAATCTATGATAGTATCAGGGTTTTTGTTGATGTGCAACGCGTTATAAGTACCTAATGGATATTGTGATATGAATAATTTGCAATTTATTATAGGTCAGTTTTTTTAAATATCATAGATAAGTTTATGATATGTCTTGTACCTAGACTGATATACCATCTCCGCTAAGAATCGTTTTTTATTATACAATGATATTATATCATTGAATTCAAAATTAATACCATCCAGATTATCCACATTATACAGTGACCCAATTGTAACCTACTGTACAGCAGAGCACCTTTTTATATTTTAATTTATACTATAAGCTGTTTATTACAGAAATAATATATATAATAAAATATTTTAATTTTATATTATACTCGTAATTAAAAATTAAAAATTAAACAAGTGCGAGTCGGACGCGCGCACGAAGGGTCCCGTGCCATCATCTATAAATATGTTGGCAACACTGCTTATATCATATATTTTAAGATTTTTAGTATTTGTTGTTATAGCAGCCACAGAAATACATAATCTGTGAATATTTCAACTTTCTAACTTTCATGGTTCATGAGATACAGCCTGGTGACAGACGGACGGAAGGACAGCGGAGCCTTAGTAATAGGCTTCCGTTTTACCGTAAGGAACCCTAAAAAGTAATAATTGTAATTTATTCAATAAAAATAAAATATCTGCTGATGGTTATTTGAACTTCTTCAAATAATATTACATCAATATTTAATAATTACTTTTATACTTGTATATAATTCACAATACAATAAGTTGTAGCTAGCTTATATATTTTTATGTTCGATATAATTGATTACATATTTATAAGCTCAATCGACAACCACTAATAATACTGTGGTAACTAATACCTATATATTATAACTACTTATAAGTTATTATTAATAAATAGTAGTACAAAATAACATAATGAGATCAACAAAACTACAAGTATTTTAATGTTTACATTTTATTTTTAAAATATTCTTTGAAAATAAAAATAAAAACTTAGAGCTAAAAAATTAAATTACAGAAGTGACTTTTTAATTAATAATTCAATGTAGTATATTATATAAATATAATTATTACATTTAAGTGTTAACTCCATTAAAATAATTCATGCATCGCTTGGTCGACTAAATTATAATTATTACTATTAAAAAATGGAATGCTGGAATATGTTTGTCATGTAGATAAACCAAAATATATATATTATATATTACTAAATAATGCATCACTAATTTGCCTAATTATTTGGTGATTTTAGAACAATAATAATTTGTTTCATCAAAATTCTAAACAAAAAATAAGTGTACGGTACTGATGACACAGAAATAGATATTAATGTTCTTACATGAGTTGGCTTCGTTTTAAAATTAACAAAATTGAACTAGCAACTCTTTCGTTAAAACACAACAAAACTTTACCAATATCTTTTGGAAAGGTCGACTGCCTTAAACACTCCTAGAAGTATAATGGTGTAATTAGTGGCGAATGTAGGTGGGGACACTAGATGAATTCATTGTTCACCCTTTCACTTTTATCATGAAAATAATGAGTGTGCATTCCAGTCAACTCATTCTTTGGAGAAAAAAAGAAGTTTTGTTCAAAACAAATTTAATTTCCAATGTAAATTAAAAAGGCAGAGCGTAAAGACACGGACATACGACGACGTGTTTTTTTTTTCAGTGATGTAATGAAAACTCTGTAAAGAACCAAGTGGGTCAGCAACAGAATAAACTTTTTTGTCGTTTTACGCGCATTAATCAACCAACAGAATTACTTTTACTACCTAAAGAGCTAGTATTGCAAAAACATTTCAAAATGACCGAAAAATGGTAAAACAACAGATGTTTATTGAATATTATTCATTAATCGAGTGCAATACAATCATCAAGTTATGCTGTGACGTATAATATTAATTGGAATTCACACAAAAATATTGATATAATATATTCTTTGGTCAAATATTGAATATTATATTTTAAACGGAGAAAAAAGTCTGAACTCGAAATGTAGTAAACACCTTTAGGTGATAGTTAATTTATTATTAAATCGAAATGATAATTTTATTATAACTATAAGTGACTATGGCATTTATTAGATGCACATGTTAAAACTCTGAGCGATTCCATGAACGAATTTGTTTAAAAATGAAGAGTGTTTTTATTAAAAAAATAAAATTGTGATTTGTTTGTGTCTGTTATCAAATTTTGGAAATACTATTCAATCTTCAACTCTGAGCGTCAACACTTTTAAGCAAAACTGTTCTTGACAAAATCAAATCAAATTTGTTTTATGTAACACAATCATGAATATCCAACTGCAGAGATTTAAACTTTTCACCAAATATTTGTATTAAGATACATTTTCTAGACGAAATATTTTATTTAAAAAATATTTTTTAGATTCATTTTAGAAAATTATTGATATTTGAAATTTTTAAATTATATTCGTTTTTTTTTTTCTATACATGTTTTAAGTTGATGAAACATTTTACGCTTAGGGAAAAAGGTTAGAAATTTAAAACAAACTTTCTCATAAAATTGTCTTATAGCAATTTATTTAAAAAACTACAATATACATTAAAACAGGTTTAAATTATATAAGCGTATATCTAAACTTTTAAAGTTCAAATTTTAAGGACATTTGTCGAATTCTCAAAAATATGTGAAATCTTTTGTAGTTAACAATGTTTATAAAATTTTACATTTTATAATAGATAAGAGGATTGAAAATGTAATACAATTTTTATCATTCGTTTTTCTTATATTATAGAAAACTAAAATTATTCTAAAAAATAAATTTGCATATATTTTTTGAACATTTCAATTTTAAATTATATAAATATAAATAGGCAAAGCTATTAAATATTTTATAGCAATTAAAAAAATACTTTTCGTATGGGCTTAACACTTTTTCCACATTACGTATACTGTTGTTTACTATAACTATACAATATGGTGTTTTAAAAATATTTCGAATAAATTAAGCTATTTATCTCACAAACCTATTCACACCGTTCATGTATACCTGTATACGTATACTCATTTATAAGTGTATAATACAACATCCAGTAATACCTATAGTGTATGAAATGATAAATAAATTTCACCATACAATCTGATTTGATTTGACAAAAATTAGTTCAACCTATACCTACCGTACCTATGTTACCTACTAATATCAATGTACTTGTAAGATAAAATATTAAAATATCCTCAGACATAGGCATTAGGCTGACAGTCGACAGACCGTCTCCTCTGAGAATCGTTTTTCGCGTACAATGATTTATCATTGAATTCAAATTTAATACATCCATTACAGTAACCTACTCAATGGTGAGGTACACTCGACACGTACTATACAGGCATACAGCAGTGTGACTTCCTCGGTTTCGTTTTGAACAAAATAATATATCATGATATACTGCACCTAACCTGTATATTATATTCCTGTAGAACAAACATATTACGAATTTACGTTATAGTTAAAGTATCCATGCTTTTATAAGTTTCCGGAATGAGATGGTGAGCAAATATTATTATTACACGCGTTGTTTATCAAATATAGAGTGTATAATAATACAATAACAAATACAAATATTAGCAAAGAAAAAGAACGAGAATAACCGAAAAAAACATGTGTTTAAGTTTGCCCCGAAATTTAAATAACAATAACGATTATAATAATTTATGAAAATACAAATAGATGGGGTAAAAACTGCACTAGCGACTAAGTGAAGTTTGTTACTTGTAAGCACTTATTTTATATTAATAATGATCGAATTACATGCTAGAACTCGTCGAATTATCGATTTCAATGAAAATAACTCACAACGTCATCATATTTGAATAATTAAGTGTTCACGTTTTACGTTAGAGCCAAAATAAAATAAATATTTTTGATTAAAAAAAATTTCGATTATAATATTGCTGTATCGTTTTTTTTATTATTTGCACAAATAAAATTAATTCTTTAAACCTGTGGTATATTATATTATTATTAAGTACGAAAATCACAACTAAGTATATCT